TTAGACAGAGATGAACTGTTTCGTCGGTAGAATAAATAATAAACCAATTAAGGATAGTGAGTAAATATGCCTAGACCATTGTTGGTCGAAATCGAATAAATTCATCAGTTTGCCACTTACCAGTGTCCATACACCCTTAGCGAATTGTACAATCTCACTAGCGCCCATTTTACTTTCTCCATAGACTCTGTCAACAAATGTAATGGGAACCTCACCGATGGTATAGTTAAATTGTCTCGCACGAACCATCATCTCCATTTGAAACACATATCCCTTGGAGATGACAACAGACATAATGCTTTCCAGAACTTCCTTTTTATAGAGCCTAAAAATAAATTATTAACGATCTACAAACTACACAAGATCTACGTAAGTCAAGCCACACCTTGGAATGTTTACCTGAAGCTTCCGGTAAGATCCGACACACCAGGACGAAGTAAGGTCGAAGCAAGAAAGTTCGCACCTCGACTGTTCAAATAGTAAGAGTCATTATGAACTTTTAATGGTCAACCGAATGGTAATCATCGATTCATACCTTATTATTTTGCGTTTGAGGTTCCACCCGTATACCCCGCCGTTACCCGCGTACCGCGTTCCGGTTACAATATCAAGATTCTTTCTTTTTTGGAGCCTGATCACAAATAAACGAAAGATATAATTGTTTGAGGTGTTTTAAAATACAATCAAAATCAATCAGATGATGAAAAGATTTTTTTTCATCTTACTTGATAAATTCCGGAATGAATTTTGGCTGCGAAGGAATGAAGACAGTTAAGATCAGTCTTCATTCTTACTCGTGAAAAAGACAATGATATCGGGACTCACATGATGTGAGAAATCGGCATCCATTATGATGACAAAGTTCCCAGTGACAAATTGTAAGCCGTGTACATAAGCTGTACCTAGGCCAAGTTTGCCGGCACGCGGTTTTAACAACTTTTGAACAAACGCGAGGTCAGTAAGCAAAGTTTTTGTTGGAGAAATGGACATATGGTCACACTTACAATACGCTCGGAGCCATAAACCTTAATAAGTTGCTTTGCAATTTCCTGGGTCCCATCTGGCGAGTTATCGTCGACAATTATGATTTCCCAATTGATATCGCTAAAAACACGTTAGCATGTAATCGATGGTTTTTTAAGGATGGCGATCTCGTTAAAACATACTGTTCTTTAAAGGTTTTTGCCAAAAGCCAAACGATTATGGGTAGGTTTCCACGTTCATTGTAAGTTGGAAGAATTATGCTGTATTTGTCTTCGACTTCATATGAGGCTACCTTGACTGATGAGCTCATGTCGCAAGAGAGTATTGTGGAAACCGACGATTCGGTACTATCATAAGGTGTACTTATTTCACGTGATAAATGCATCGCCTACTTTATTAGTCGACTAATTGCACCAGTTATTTTTACCTGATTCCTGTAGAAACGTCACGATGTCTTCTTCCACAACGATAAAGCAGGGGGAATACACCACATATAATATTCGATACTTGCGTATATCGGAAAAGAAAGTTCTACCATTGATACTCTACATCAAACCAGAGAACACAGAATGGTTTAACGAAGTTTTATTTCAGGTAGGACTGCGGTCAGATAAAATGATAACCCAAGGTCAAACTTTGTTCTCACGCGTCAC